TACTGGGGTTGGCAAAAGTAAGTTTACAGTTGTGAGTACGTGAAATATGGAGTTTATTTATTAATTATTGCCTTACTGTTTTTTTTTTTTAATTTTTTTTTTAAAATATATTTTATTGATTTTTTACAGAGAGAAAGGGAGAGAGATAGAGAGTTAGAAACATCGATGAGAGAGAAACATCGATCAGCCGCCTCCTGCACATCTCCTACTGGGGATGTGCCCGCAACCCAGGCACATGCCCTCGACCGGAATCGAACCTAGGACCTTTCAGTCCGCAGGCCGACGCTCCATCCACTGAGCCAAACCGGCCTCGGCTGCCTTACTGTTATTATTTTGTATCTTTACTTATGATTTATCTTTAAGATAATGATGGCTGGTAATTTAACCTACTTTTGCCCATCTCTGCATATTTATACATCAGAGCTACTGTAATAATCCTTTGTCTATTATATGTTGCCAGTATTTTCCTCAGAGGATACAGTTTGCCTTTTAACTTAGAACAAGCATTTTTCAACCCTTAAAAATAAAGTTGATAACATGCTGATTTATTTAAATAAAGTAGATATGATTAAATACAATTCATTCAAAATAAATATAGTAGGTATGATTCGCAGTAAGAATACTGTATATTGCCGAAGCCGGTTTGGCTCAGTGGCTGGAGCGTCGGCCTGCGGACTGAGGGGTCCCGGGTTCGGTTCTGGTCAGGGGCATGTGCCTTGGTCGTGGGCGCGTCCCCAGTGGGGGGTGTGCAGGAGGCAGCCGATCGATGTTTCTGACTCTCTATCTCTCTCCCTTCCTCTCTGTAAAAAATCAATAAAAAATATATTAAAAAAAAAAAAAAGAATACTGTATACTGTCTAAAGCAACTGTTTCCATCCGGATAAACTGAAGACATCAGGCATTGTTTATTGTACTGGTCAATAATTAGAGAAACATTTGGCCTTTTCCATTTTTGAAGGTTTACTTGACTATAAGTCATGCTAAAATTCAAATTCATCTAAAGAGCATACATTTATTGAAACTGAAGGCCTTTTGTGTGTCTGTGTCTCTGTGTGGAACATCATTTATGCCGAGACAACTAAGACTTACTAGATAAAGTCCAGGAAAAACATTTACTTACTTTCCCAAAAGGGGACTGAGTTCTTTTAAATCTTCCAATGATGGCTTTTGGTCCAGAAGTTTCTTAAACAGAGCCAGTGGGAAAGGAATATCCGCAACATTTAAATGGTACAGGGAGAGTCCACAGAGCCTCCCAAAGAGGAAATATTTCTTCTTCTCAATTTTAGGCTAGAAAGGAAGCAGGAAAAATAACCCCAGCCATAATGTATTATAAACAACCAATAATCACTGGGAAATTAATTAGCAAAAAATGTTTTTGGTTCCCTTTTCTAAGAGTCACAAATTAGAAACAAAAGGAGTTTCAAGAAAATAAAAATTTGAGGTTCTTACAGTTCAAAATTCTTCCATAAGTTAAAACACAAATTAAGAGTTCACAAGATTAAATAAATGAATGTACTTTTTGTTCGTAACAGCATATCTAGAATATTAAAAAATACGCTCAGATAGCCTTATAAACTAAGGATTTCGATATTTAATTTTACAGGCTTTGCCTTCAGATTCATGTAGAAAAACAACACTTTGGAAGAAAGGGTGAACTATATCTACACTTTGAGCAGGCATCAGGCATGCCAGGTGTGTGTCAGAGGAGTGGTGTCCCTTCGGCAATATAACCCTCAACCAAGGTGTCCTTACAGGGACCAGTATACGGGTCAGGGGAGGTGAGTGGAAGGAAGGAAAGCGTCCTGATGATATTGGCTTCACTCTCCTCTCTGCACTGGCCACATCTGGCCAGACTATCACTACAGCCCAACCAAGAGATCACTAACCTGCTAATCTTTTAAGATTTCTTTTCCAGCAACAGCCTTGCTGTTAGTAGGTGCATGACTCTGAGCCACCATCTACTTGTCCAATTTCTTCTTAGAGTAATTGTGAGGATAAATGTTAAAATGTCTTTGATTTTTGAAAATGAGTTAAAAATACAAGTATACTCCAAAGGTGGCCTCCTCTAACCTGTTCAGTTTTTATTTCCTGTATCTGTAATGGGTCCCCTGGTCCTAGCTGATTTAGTCTTTTCACGGAGCCATACATGAATTAGACTTTTGTTTGTTTTCTATCCATCCGTATAACACAATGCTTAAGAGTAAGGGGTTTGGCCTGGCCGGTATTGCTCAGGTTGAGTGTCCACCTATGAACCGGAAGGTCATAGTTCGATTCCTGGTCTGGTCATATGCCTGGGTTTTGGGCTCCATCCCCAGTAGGAGGCATGCAGGAGGCAGCTGATCAATGATTCTCTTTCATCATTGATGTTTCTATCTCTCTATCCCTCTCCCTTCCTCTCTGAAATCAATAAAAAATATATTATTAAAAAAGAGAGTAATGGTTTTGTCTAGTCCTGAATCCATATTCCAGCTTAGTCGCTTGCTAGTTGGATGTCTGTAGCTTATTTAATCTCTCTGAACCTGTTTATTGATCTGTTAAATGGGGACATACTAAATACCTCACGGAGTTGATGTAAGGGGTCAGCAGTACGCTATTAGTTATGTTTGGAGAGTCAAAAGTTAAACACAGACTTTCCATTGTGTGCGGAAGAAAGGGATCAGCACCCCTAAACCCCAGGTTGTTCAAGGGTCAACTTACATCCCTTGCTTGCATCTCTCTGATCTATTTTGTCCCGATCCTTCAACATCAACCTCAGGTCTCCACTTTTCCATTACACTTTCTCCAATTACTTTCGTTCCCCTTGATAACTTTCTCTCTAATAAAGAATCCCTAAAATTTGGATAGTGCCCTAAAGTTTTCCTGGCACTTTCACATTTGGATATATGCCTTGCTTGTTTTATTCTCACAACAGTCCTGTAAAGCAGGCAGAGCAGAAATTATGACAGCCATTTTATAGGCAAGGAAACCGAAAACTCAGAGAGGCTAAAAGACTCACCCACCATCACTCGAGATTACAACTCTGGGCTTCCAATTCTATATCAGTGTATCCTTCCCTACGCTTCCGTGCTCAACAACTATTACACATAAAGTCAGCAATCCAAAATTTAGAAACAATTGCTGAAGTTCATGGTGTTTTAGTCTTATCACTCTATCTACAAATACAAAAAGAGGAAAAGGATTGTGTCCTATACTAATTTGAATCACTCACAATATTTAATACAATATAGAAACTCACGAAATAGTCAATAAATGCTAGTTGTTTGACCCATAAAAATCCTACCATTTGTACACCTTAGCCATTTCTATTTTCTAGAAGTTCATTCTTTCTCAAAAAGATACAGATCACTTCTCAGTACTTTTACACACCCACTCATCTTTCTCTTCCTTTCCTTGTTCCCTGGGTCCCAAACTTCTACTATGGAAAGAACACTTGGGAAATTTATCAGAAAGGGGATCCATAAATTGAGGCTCAACATCATTCTTTTATAATTTTTTTCTCCGTGTTTCTAATAGAGAAACAAGTTTTTTATTATTTTAAGGTATGTTTACATTTTGAGGATCCTTGTAAAAGTATAATCATTGCAGAAATGAACTGCCTTATTAGAATTAGCAATTATCTCTAGGATTATATTAATAATTTCTCTTCTTATAGAAACATTTTAGATTACTGCATCTCAAAATCTAGGAAACGACACAAATATCCATCAGAAGTGACTAGATAAGCAACATGTAGTACATCCATACAATGGAATACTACTCAACAAAAGGGAATGAGCTTTGGTTACATTCAACAACATGCATGACTCTCAACATAATTATGCTGACTGAAAGAGGACAGACACCAAGACTACTTATGCTTCCATTTTTGTAAAATTTTAGGAAATTCAAAGTACTCTATAGTGACAGTTGTTGCCTGGGCATGGGATAGGGGGCACCAGAGGCGTAGCAGCAGGGGAGGAGTAGGGTTAGAAAGGGATATGAGAAAACTTTGGGGGATGATGTGTAGATTCATTATCTTTTTAAAAAATGTATTTTTATTGATTTCAGAGAGGAAGGGAGAGGGAGAGAGAAATAGAAACATCAATGATGAGAGAGAATCACTGATCTGCTGCCTCCTGCACGCCCCACACTGGGGATCGAGTTTGCAACCTGGACATGTGCCTTGACTGAGAATCGAACTGCGACCTCCTGGTTCATAGGTCAACACTCAACCACTGAGCCATGTTGGCCAGGCTATTTTCATTATCTTGATGATGGCGAGAGTTTCATTGGTATATATGTATATCAAAACTTATCAAATTGAAAAAATCTATGTGCTGTTTATTGTATCTCAAGTGTACTTCATTAAAGCTGTTTAAAAATATAAAGTGCGTATGAATTACTTGACAATCTTATGAAATACACAGGCCTGAGATTCTGCTTTTCACAGGTGTTGCTGAAGCAGCTGCTCTGTGGACCATATTTTGAGTAGCAAGGCTCTATATGACCTAATTTTACATTATTTATTTACTTAAAATAGTGTCATTTTTAAAAATTGATTTTAGAGAGGGAGAAAAGGAGGGAGAGACATCAATGTGAAAGAGATAACATGCATTGGGTTAGTTGCCTTCCATACATGCCTGACCGTGCCTCAGCTTGGATGGCACCCACAACCTAGGTATGGCCCCTGACTGGGAATCAAATCCATGAAATTCCCATGCATGGACGATGTTCCAACCAACTCAGCCCCACTGTCCAGGACCTAATTTTACATGATTATGTATGGTTCTCATGTTGTAATAGATGGCATAATTTTTCTGTTCTGAAAAAAAAATAAGAAAATAAATAAAAGACTTACACTGATAGGAAACCACATGTAGGAACCCTCTTCAGGATACATGAACATTCCATATTCTGTCTTGGTCATCTCTTCAAACATGAAGTAGAAGAACTCGGACTTTACCCCATAACCCACAGAACGAATTTCGTTAATAAATTCAATCTGAGGAAAGAGAACACTCCCAGAGTTAAAATATAATGCCTTGACCTTTTGTAGAAAAGTTTCAAACTTCCTGCAGTCACCAGAATTCCCAGAATCCCACATCTCTTACTTCACTGCAATCTGTTCTCCCTCAATTTGCTACTGAGCAGCAGCTGCCATGAACCTTTTTATTGTCCGATTATTGTATACTGAGTGCATGGGGCTTTTACACTGCCATGAACCAAGTGAAGGGGATGCTAGCAAGACTTATCATTTACCAATTATGTTGACCAGCGTCTTAAACCAAATTCTGATGTGCTTTAATCCTCTGCGCCACTAAATCCCCTGATTCTTCTATCTTGTTATCTGTCTTCATTGCATCATTCAGACTTTACAGCTTTGGCCCAATCAACAACTATTTAATTTTTCCTGCCTCTCCCCTCTTTAGGACTTTTTTCTTTCTTTTTTTTAAGAAAGCGAAGTAATTTATTACTGTTTTGCCTTTTATTTAGAAGCGTCTCTGGGCTCTCTGCTGGGATTGCTCCAATCATTGGCTCCAGGTGTGGTCTTGTATCGGCGCCATGCTGACTTATTGAATATGGGAAGCCTCTCGAATGATTCACTTGAAAGAGCCTTCAAATTAATTACAGCATCCGTACCCACTCCTTCCATAGAATAGAGTTTTAGATCTCCTTGGAAATATCTAGCATACAGACGAGAAATTGGCAAGCCATAACCAAATCCAGCCAGAGGGGCAGCTCTTGAAGGCTCCAGGCTTGGTCTAGGAGCAGTGGAATACATGTAGTTAAAAAGACGATCTATTTTTCGAAGGGGGACGCCACCACCGAGGTCGCTGATCTTAACGGACAAGTCTTCTTTACCCAGAGCGACAAGGGTTTTAACCGCGGGGTAGGCCTCTTTTCTGTCTCCATAGAGTTCAATGGTTGCTCTCATCGAGTTCTTGAACAACTCAAATAGCATGTGAAACAGATGTGAGGGCACATAAACTACCTGAATAGGTTGGCCTGGAGCTTTGGCATTGAATTCTTCAACTTCCAACTCAGGGGCTACCATGTAATACTGTTCACATAACATCTTGGCGTTTTCATAGGCATCTTTCACGACATCGGACACGTTGCAGGCGGGATCGATACTTCCGATGTGTTTGGGATGAGCAGGATTTGTGTCACCGCCAAACAGAAGCGTGTGCTGGTTGATAAGCATGCGGAAGGAGATGCGGTTAGTATAGAAGCGATCCAGGAAATACTGGATGTTACTGCTAGTGAACGGATCAAACCCAAACTTCTCCTTGTATTCAATCACTCCTTGTGCCATGGTAGGAACCACATCGTTGTGTCTATTTCTGACTTGAATAAGAACCTGTAGAAAGCTATCTAAGACCTTTGGGTCCTCAGGGCTCTTATTTTCATACTCCAAAAGTTCCAGGAAGCTCTGCATATACCAACTCTGGACCAATCCCACTGACGGGCGGGTAAGCAAATTATCCGGCAGAAGATTAACTTCTCTCATGGAGTTGGCCAGGCGCACAGGAAGCTCCTTCCGTAGAAACCTGTATGACGTTTTTTCACACGCATTGTCTCTCCCGAAGTCCAGGAACTGCTTGATGGAGAGCGGCGACGGGGAGAAGCGGGAGTAGCGCTCAATCTGCTTGGGCACCGGCTGCTTCAGCAGCCACCGGAACAGCCGCATCCTCGCCGGGGCAGTGCACGCACCAGCCGAGACACTCCGGCGGCCGCAGGGGCCGGTGTGGCCGAGAGCCGCCGATCAGGCGCGTTCGCCCAGCGCGCAGCCTCCGCCTCGGCCTGGACGCGGGGATGCAGCAACAGCAACAACGGCGGCCGCGGCTTCCCCAGGACCCGCCCACGGGGGCGCCACGGGGGCGGAGCCGGCCCCGCACGTGCGCGGCGCCGGAGGGGAGCGGAGGGGCGGGGTGAGAGGGGCGGGGCCGCCGCACGCGCTGGCCGCTGATTGGCCGCTGTCGCCTTGGCTTTCCTTTGTGGCGCGGCGCCGGTTGCTCCCTGGCTCCCCGGTCTCAGCCGGGCTGGCGGGTGCCGCTACCGCACGTCCCGCCCCCGACTGGGGCCTCAGTGGCCGCAAGGTGGTGGCGGAGGTGGAGGAGGAGGACTGGGAAGAGGCCTGGGCCCACGCCGGGAATCTCATCCCACACGCCGCTCCTGGCCTCTCTCAAGCGAAGGTACCTCTTCCGGGAGGCCTTCCCTGGAGGCTGGCTGTCGCGCTTCTAAGTGATCCTTCCATCTCCACACTGTGATGCTCAGGTTCTGTTCGCCACTTAACGATAGCGGCTGTTTCATGTTTTCCATGACCACCACCATCTTTGGGCAGAATCAAATGTAAACTGGCTGGTTCTGCTTTGTTCCCGCCGCGCTCATTGGGACTTTTGATAAACAGCCCTTCCAACCAGCCTGCGCCTGGCATCTTTCCAGGAACCATGAGCCCTGCCTGCCCATACCCCTGGGGTGGGAGATCAATATGAACTGGTTCCTCTTTCCTAAAGTCCAGTTTTGGACTTTGTGGCCGAGTGCACTCCCAGCTTTCCTCTCTAACGACTCCTTCTCTACTTCCTTTCCTGGATAATTTCTTTTTATCTTTCTAATACAAGCATCACTAAGCTTGACTAAGAGTCCTCTTTTTGGCTGGAAGATCTTATCTATTGCCACTTTGATCACCTGATTCCTTGGCCCTAGACCAGAGGTCCGGAAACTGCGGCTCGCGAGCCCCGTGCTCCTTGGCCCCTTGAGTGTGGCTCTTGCATAAAATACCACGTGCGGGTGCGCACATACAGTGCGATTGAAACTTCATGGCCCATGCGCAGAAGTCGGTATTTTGTTCCCTAGCCAACTCCCAAACATGTCAACAGGTGCATACAGAATCTGCAAAGCCACCCAGATAAGTTCACCCTAAATCAGGAGATCTTCAACTGAACTGCAGATAAAATAAAGTATTGTAATTTTAAGTCATTAAGCTTTGGGATGGTTCATTATAGTCATAGGTAACTAGTTAATTTATAATCCCAATGTTCAATTAAATGTCCCATTGCTTTTCTCTGAAGGGTAAGCAAGGAATTCTGGAAATCATAAGGCTGATAACTATAATTGCAAACCCAGGCTCTCCTTTTGCTACATTAAATAACTGCTTCTCTCCCACATTAGTAAAATATCCAATGAGACTTTTTACCGTACCACCAATTCTTTCCGAAGGTCAGTGACTTCAGCTTGGTTTAATTGATGCAGAGCATCATCAACTAGGTGACTTCGTCTGACTTGAAGTAAAAATCCGGATGAAAACATATGTTTAATTTGTGACTCCTGGAAAAAGAAATATTTTAGGAATCGTCACTGGAATATTAGGAAATATTTAACATTTCAGATAAACCCATTTTGTCTAACATACAATTATGCCTACTGTTGCCATATATGCTCATATTGTAATTATTTAAGAAAAGAGCATCATATGTACACTATAGAAGATAAAAAGGTGGAAGAATCTGTGAAACTGTGGCATCTAGGAATTTTGTACAGAGGATTAATCATCGTGGATGTACAGCTAAATAATTAAAAGCTATCTCTGATCACTTATTTTAGTAAACATGATCCTTAAAAGCAACAGTGGTGTCTATGCAGAGACATTCTCCCACCAGTTTTTAAGAAGAGTGTTAGCACAATAATCCTCAAAAATATATGGGCAGTTTGGAAGCCCAGAGATAATGTGAGATGTAGGAAACAGACTAGAGGAAAGACTTGCTCAGAGAAAAGTGTTCTCTGTCACCCTACATAGTACCTCCATTAAGCTCTTCTAAATTCTCAACATGCCCTCACCATTTCAGCTCCTTGCTCTTGTTTCTGCTGAACTCCCTGGGATTAGAAATCTAGTGTTGGAATTATTGGCCTTGCTTTGACCTTTAACCTTCCTCTAGGAATTCTGCTATATCACAAGGACAATAAAAGAATATTTAGGATTCATAAACCAATGCCACTATTGAGACAGCAAGACAGGTGGATAATAACTATCCTAGTCCAGGTTTCCAGACTGTGTGTGTTTGCCAATATTAGCACTCTATAAGCTACTCAGAGAAGTGCATGCATATGGCTCTGGGCTTGGGAAAGCCCTGTCCCAGATCTCTGCTACCACTATATACTGAGAAATTGTGTGATTCCACTAGATTCTTCTGGTTTTTCCCTAAGGTCTTTGTTGTACAGAAGCTCCACAGCCCTAGCTGGCTTGGCTCAGTGACTAGAGCGTCGGCCTGCGGACTGAAAGGTCCCGGGTTCAATTCCCGTCAAGGGCACATGCCTGGGTTGTGGGCTCGATCCCCAGTAGGGGGTGTGCAGGAAGCAGCCATCATCGATGTTTCTATCTCTCTCTCCCTCTCCCTTCTTCTCTGAAATCAATAAAAATATATTAAAAAATATGTATTTAAAATGAAACAAAACAAGAAGCTCCATATTTGTAGGGAGATGGAAAAATGCCATTTCTAGTCTTTTCTGGTGGTGGGTCATCTCCTCCTGTGGCCTTGGAATCTGCCGACACTTCAGGAATACTGACTGCTAAGCTACATGTCCCGTGGCTCTGAGTGACGAAGTGGCCAGCAATATCCTGCACTGACTAACAGGGAAAGGTGTATGCGTCCTGCTGTGGCCCAGGCTTCTCTCGCCTTCCCATGAATTGGACTGGAAACCTGTGTATCTTGTTTTCCGGTCTCTCTACTCCCGTTCTCCATGTACTGGTTTCCCATTTCTACGTTTGTGCATTTGGATTGATAAATCTAGTTTGGAGCTTACAATTTTGACTAAGTCCATCATCTCTCCTCTGGAGGACAGGATTGTGGAACCTGCTTTGTGACTTCACCCATGACAACTACAACTAAGAATTTTCTTGTCCTCAAACATTTCCCAATCCTTCATAGTATGTAACTTGCCTGGGTCCGCTATGCACTCAACCCTCACTAACAGAGCAGACAGGCTAGGCAGAAAATTTCTATAGAAAAAAATAATGTAGAGGGAAAGATTTTCTTAAAGGGAACTTAAGGGAAAGTTAGGTTTGGGAAGGAAAGATTTAATCTATTTTCTCCCATTACCCAGAATGTCAGGAAAATTGAAAAAAAAAAGGTGGCTGGGAAACAGAAGAGATGAGCAAGTCAATCTGATGACAGACACTAATAACAGTATCTAAAGGGAGAGTCCTTAACTATGGAATGCTTTTAGCAGGATGTACTTTGTCCTTCTAGGTTGATTACTGTAAAAACTACAGGCCCGGTGCATGAAAATTCATGCACTTGGGGGGGGGGGTGTCCCTCAGCCCAGCCTGCGCCCTCAGTCCGGGAGCCCTTGGGGGATGTCTGACTGATGGCTTAGTCTCGCTCCTCAGGGGGAGAGGGCCAAAGCCGCAGTCTGGCCTCCCTCTGTGGGAGGTGACCGGCTGGGCGATCAGGGGACAGTGCTGGCTGGCGAGAGGCCAGCCCTGTCCCTCCGATCACTGTCCCCTCCCTCTGCCCGCTGGCACCCACCTTGGCTGGCCCGGCAGCGCCCACTCACTGGCTCCACCACCCGCCGACCAGTCATTCAGCCATTTGGTGGATTTGCATATTAGGCTTTTATTATATAGGATGTGGTGTTTATGGATTTATCAGGCATGGCCCATTGGAAAATGTCATATAAGCTCTATAATTAATAGGGAATGAAAAGGAAATACTTTATTACTGAAATGACTCCTTGTGTGCATGTGATGTCCCGACTTTTCACTTACATGGCCCATCTCCTTTGAATTATTAGCAAAAGTAATGGGTATGTTTCTGATTCCTTTAAGTCGTTAAATTCTGTCTTATAGTCTTTGTTTTTTCCTTTTTTCTTTTGTTAATCCTCATCTGAGGATATTTTTCCATCGATTTTTAGGGAGAGTAGAAGAGAGAAGGAAAGACAGAGAGAAACATTGATGTGAGAGAAACACATCAATTGGTTGCCTCCCAGGCTGGGGAGGAGCCTGCAACCAAGATACATGCCCTTGCTGAAACCGGTTTGGCTCAGTGGATAGAGCGTCAGCCTGTGGACTGAAGGGTCCCAGGTTCGATTCCGGTCAAGGGCATGTGCCTGGGTTGTGGGCACATCCCCAGTAGATGTGCAGGAGGCAGCTGATCGATGTTTCTTTCTCATCGATGTTTCTAACTCTCTATCCCTCTCCCTTCCTCTCTGTAAAAAATCAATAAAATATATCTAGGAAAAAAAAAAAAAAAGATACATGCCCTTGACCAGAATCAAACCTGGGAGTCTTTGGTCCGCAGGCCAACGCTCTATCCACTGAGCCAAACTGGCTAGAGCTCTTGTAGTCTTTCTATAAACATCATAGAAAATAGATACGAACCTTTCCTGAGGAATGGCCTAGAAAACAAACTTCAATGATCAAAAAATGTTTGGAAAATCTTTAGCATAATGTCTGGGCATGTGGTGAGTATAACTGAGAGTATAAGGCTGATGGTGACAAGAGAGACAAAATACCATGTAAGTGTTTTGTGGGAATAATACAACTCCCAGAAAAAGAGTGGAAGGAAGAGAATAAATGGAAAACAGAATAAATTCACTGGAATCAAAATAATATCAGTTGGAGCTTACAAATGAAGCTCCAAGACTTTTTAAAGAAATCATTATTTATTGATTTTAGAGAGATAGGATGGGGGGTGGGGGGGTAGAGAGAAACATTGATTTGTTGTTCCACTTATTCATTCACTGACTGCTCCTTGTATATGCCATGACTAGGAATGAACCCACAATCTTGGACTATTGAGATGATGCTCTAA